ACCTCAGAAACGTCGTAACCGTACACAAATTCTACCAGTTTCACTGTTCATGCGACATATAGGCAAAAGCGTGAAAAATTTAGATACGTAGTATAGCTAGATACAGATATTTCACAGCACACTCCCTATCAGGGCTTTTCAGTGACTGGTTACATTATGAATAGCTAGATAGATAGAACCGAACTGACGTGAAGCAGACCGAGGTAAGCGCTTGAGCAGCCGCTATTAGTCCTAGGCTACTTTTATAGCTACCTAAGCTACGTTTATAGCTTTCCGAAAAGTACCTATCCGATACGGAATGTGAGCTGAGCGAAACAGCAACTCTCCGTTGCAATAATTCCTCTGAAAATAGCTTTCCTAAAAGGTAGGGATAGGTGTTTTTTCACGTCGCCACGGAAAGTTATCCGGTGTGTAAACGTGGCCGAAGTATTGAAGTATTTCTGTCCCAGTCCAAGTAAATATGAAATAGCAAACATTTTATGTACACGAAAGCTAAATGAGGCGAATAAGCGCCTCCGTGGGAATGTTAAATATAGATCTAACGTCTTGGTTTGATAACGCGAGAAATTTTTGCGCCATTTGGTTGCGTTCAATGACCTGTCAACAACTGCTTGACCTTTGACCTTAATATCTATAGCAGAACAGACAAGAACAGCCCGAGAACAGCCATGTTTTGCAAACCGCTTTCGAATAAACGCTGGTTCATTTGCAGAGTTTAAGGCCCTGTTTACACTATACCGGATTCGCTGGTCACGACATCTTCTTTTGCCGTTACGGAGCAATGGTTAGTAGCAAATGCTTATTAGTTTGACAGAATTGGCATGTTTATAATTATTTGGGTCTCTGAGATTAAAAATCTTCACAGCCTTTCGATAGCCACAAAATTTGATCCACTCCGATAGCAATCCGGTATAGTGTAAACGGGGCCTAAGTCTATGTCTTGAATACTGTGATTTGCTTTTTTGAGCACTGGAATGGAAGTAATGTCTTCAGTTCGACACAAAAGAAAATTCTACGTTGCGTTATGATAAGATTCAAGTTGAAAACAAGCCTAACCTAAACCATGGATTGTAAAATAACAATTTTTATTATATAAACATAAGTGTTATATAGAGTTTTGGCCACTGAGAAAAATCGTATTTAAACACACGTAAAAAATACGATATTTTTACGTGTAAAAATATCATTTGTTGTAAAACGCTTTGCCACGGACGTTTTATTGTTTTTCACTGAATTTTGTTTATATAATAAACAGAAAAATACATGGGTGCTTGGAAATACCAGATTTTTTTCTCGTCTTACATAAATCTGGTATTTCCGCGCACCCATGTATTATTCTCTATATAATAATTGTAATATGTAATAATTATTTATTTTATTGTCCATGCCTAAACCAATGTGATGTCATTGGTTCTGCCGAAATGCTCAGCAACACACACTATGTTTCGGTGTTTCAGACACAGCATAGCCTTTCTAAACAATATGTAACTGGGGAGCAATTGCCTCCCTCCCCTCAGGAAACAGATTTGCCCCCGATCTGCACACGCAGTGCTCAATTTACACATCTGCGCTCGCTTCCCGTCGGAAAAGAAATTACTGCTGGATTTCTTTCAACAGCGGGATGGTTAAGACCACCTCGTAAGCGAATGATGTTATCAGGTTATCACCCAATCCTACAGCAGGGCCCTAGCCATGTGAAATATTGGCAATGCATTAGCTATATAGATCTATCTCTGATTAAATAACAGCATTGAAATCATATCAAAGCCCTAATTAGACCTTATCTGAAGCCAAAAAAGTTGAAAGCGCGCATTCCAAAAATTGAACAAATAACACATATACTCTGGAGTGCAAATAACATGTGTCTGCAAATTACTAATCAAAATATTCGTATCACGGCTAATGGGACTTTTTGGTAATACGAAAAACATCCGATACGCATCTCATAAGTCAATAACAGAGACTTATTCACTTAATATGACATTCCATTTATCGCTTTTTAAATACCAGAAAAGGTAATAGCAAATCAAGGGTTTGTAGATGGAAATGTTCGATGTAATTATATAGCTCAGTTGGTTAGAGTGCTGCACAGGAATCGCAGGGCCGCAAGTTCAATTCATGCCAGAGGGCCAATGTTCCGCTCGATAAAAACCCGCATCGATAAAAACCCTGTTAGTTCAACTGTTAGTTTTATCGTGTATGTTCGTTCTAGATAACTTTTATGGTTAATACGTTTTCCCTCGTGAAATAAAGTTTCTATTCTATTACGCTCAAAAATCTCGATATTTACTCATAGCAAATCAAGGTTTATAGTTTGTGCCAAACTGCCTTAAATTTGAATTGAAACACAGACTATGTGATTAGCTTGCAGAGCCGTCGCCTTATTTAATTGAAGGTTTTGAGGATTTGTGATTAAATGGCGGGTTAGAAAAAAGGGGCGAAGAAAAAATTTTTCTAACCCGCCATTTATTCAAAAATCCTCAAAACCTTCAATATATAAATAAAGCGACTGCTACGCAGGATACTATGTGATTTAATGGCTGTTTACATGAATACGCAGGCTATACGTCCGCAAAATTTAGGGCATGCGGGACATTCCACAAAGGAGAGACGCACTGTCGGATTCTTGGCGGGATGATTTTGATGAATTAAAGAAAGTCCCTGTGTAATTATGGAAAGTCACACGGCGATTTTTAAAGGAACTGAAATTGAAAAAGTCAGATTGAGAATCATAAGTCGAAGTTTTACGTTTTTTTATGATTACTTAATTAAACGGCGTTTTGTTTACAATCATTCAGCAAACCGAGCTTTCCTTCCAGAAACCAAAAAATTGTTTCAATCCTCATTTCGTCCCAGTAACGTAAACACACCCTCAGGCTAAGATTTTCTAAGATGTTTTTACTATCGTTACATTTTAATTTGCATATGCACAAATATTGATAATTACGTCGCACAATTACTGCATGCTTTGAAAAATTTTAATAATTCGCGCAAATACTGCACGCTTGCCAATATCAACTTTCACGCATATTAGTTCAACACGGATTGAACCGGAAAAGGCGCAATACTGTCTTGCAAACATATCGACTGTCGTATGTTTTGCTTCGGCTTAATATTGTATGATTAATATCAACAAACCACTTGACCGGAGAGTAATATAATACACAGGGTCACGAAACCACTCGAGATATTACTCATTTAATGATACTAGTTTCTAGAATCGAGGAATGTGTCACGAGTACGTATAAACAGCCATCAAGTGATTTACTTATTCTTAATAAACTTCAATTGTCAGAATTATTTATGACTTAGAAGTACTATCGGTATATCGGATATATATAGTTTCGGATATATATAGTTTCGGATATAATTTTCCCACGAGATTTATTGCTTTCGGCTGTTTGATAGATTCTATTGACTAGCCTTCACAATTTTGTTGATTTCTTTTTAAGCTTTTCTTCCAAGGGAATATATTGGCTCAAATGACTTGTTCTCACTGCTTTTAGAATTTTAGAATAAAACAAAAGGCGAAACATAGCTATGTAGTAAAGCATGAGACAAATGTTTCGACACAAGCGCAAGGATTTTTAGTTCTTTTAACAACTTGGATAATAATTCTCACAAGCAAATCGCGCTGCGACAGAGAGATAGAATTAAAAACTGCCAGGAAAATAAATTGTCAAATTCATACAAGATGGCGGCGATGACGTATTTGCAGTGCACATAATATATTCAATTTCAGGTGCTGGCCTTTACAACTAACAAATGTGTAGACTCGCGCGTAAACATACCCTCTGCTGGCGATAATAGCGCTCATGTGGTAGACATGAGATAATCCAATAAGACAACATGGAAATATTAAGACCATAGCATCATAACTCAATTTCGTTTCAACTTATGGTCAAGGGTAAACATCGAAATGTCTGGTGTTAACAAGCTTCCGCCTTGCGGTGAGTTTGAACTAACTTTGTATATACTGGATAGCTCAATCAGTTTTAAAATGTTTTATCTAGAGGTCTAGTAAGGGTCACCATCTGATACTGGTCTGTTTCTACAGGAGGAAACTCAGTGGAGTTCCCAGAGAAAACCTGTAATGTTTAGTACAGTCAAACAAACTACGTATGTGCGTATACTGCAACAGCCATGGAGGTGAATGTCACAAGCTGTAACTACCGCGCTACTAATCCGCCATTCCGTCATCTTCCCGCACTGACGCACACTATGCATATATTTATTTAGCGCGTACAGTTGCGCCAGTCGAGACTCGGACCTAAAATAACAAATTGTTCTAATGCAAAATTCCTCACTTGATAATAACTTTAGATTATCGATATATACGACTGGAGATTAGATCTCGTTTTAATACTATAAATAAATACTTTTGACCACACAGGATTGGTCTTAAAACTTTTATTAAATTAAAAAGTTCAAAGGGAATTCAAGGACATGTCTGCGTTTATTATTCCCATGCGATAATTTTGAGTGACCACTTTTGACAAGTTCAAGGGTAAGTGAGTTTATCTCTAAAGATAGACAACCATTCGCCTTTTATGCTTGTACAACTTACATAAAAATTACATTCAGTAACACAGCAGTGTTTACAATTGTTTACTCTTTAGAGCTTCTGAACTGTTTGTGTATGGTTTATTCTACAATGCTATTATGGAAATGCGCGCATATCGATCTAATTTTGGCTAAACTTTCTCATCAATGCGCGCTAATATTTATAACGTTTCAATGGTTCTATCAAATCAAGACGCACAATCTCAGATGCATACCAAAGAAGATTCAGCGATTAAACGTTTTAAACTGTAATCAGCTTTGGGTAAGAACTACCAGAATAAGACTGAAGACAGGTAGCCGTATTTTACAACGTAGAACTGTCAGCCAGACCCTGTATTTTATTTTACTGCTTTGTATCACATACCATGTATGAAAACCTGAACCCTCGGACTTGAACCTTACAGTACGCGTTTGTGTATTATAGAAGAGTTATACAAAACTTACATATAGGTTATTATGAACTTCTCCGTTAAACACGACTACAGTTGACAGGTTAACCAGCTTATGAAACCCAAGCCGTAATTGAGCGTCGCCACTTCTCTTACCAAAGGAGTAGAATTCAATCAAATCTAAACCACAAACAGAGTAGATTAGATAGAGAACATGAACCACAACCAAAGCAAGGCGCCGACGTGATGCCATATTTTGAAACAGACGTAGAGGGAAGCGGCGCGAATATCAAAGGCGTCCTCTCGTTAACAGGCTAGCTTTCTCAATTCCACGCGAAGACAGGCAGATGAAATGCGTGTATACTAATAAAATCCGCGCGTTTCATATACAATAGCCCTCTTGTTTGAACAAGCTGTCCAACCAAGATCACGACAGCTATTGGTTGATTTGCGATGACGTCACATGTTTGGGATTCTGTTGGAAGCATTCCACCAATGGGAGTCATTCGCTGATAATTGATGCCCATAATTAAGGGTCATTACACATGGGGCGCGTATGACAGGTGTGAAAATGAAGGCGGCTTAATTGCACGTGGGATCTCGTGTTCAGGTCAAGTTTAAGAACGCTACAGGACATCGGATCTTTTTGTTCCTCACTTAACTTAAAGATTCCGATTTCTTTAATCCACGATTCTATGTCCCTAGTTTAATAAATTTATCAGTTTGGGAAATTTGAGGGCACGTAATCATCTAACGTCTATATATATATGACCAATTCTCAACTTCCCACATGCCTAGAATAGAACAAAGATAAGCGAGCCCCCTCCCCCAACTTTGAAAAAGCAGAAAGGTTTATTATATCTCGTATTATATGTTACGGCGGCCCGAAACAGTTGTTGTAGGAGGTTAAATCGAAGTTTCTGCGCTTCAAAACTTCCTCAGAAAATACCATTTGAGAGAATTTATATTTTTCGGGGTAGCATGCCCCCGGACCCTTCTAGAGTTTGTTTTATCTTTGTTCCATTCCATATGCTTTATAGACAATAGTAACCAGGCAGATGAGTTCTGACCGGGGTAGCAACGTTATATATAAACGTTAGCTAATATGTACTTCATGACATGTAAAAAAGACACACGTGCACGCATATACTAACCTTACACACGTAAAAATCTCAACAAGATGGGTTCACAACAGGCTTGTAGCAAGCTTTTCAACAACAAGTTGTAACAATGCTGTTATTTTATCAAGTTGCTACAAGGTTGTCACTCACAACTTGCGGACAAATTGTTGAATTGCAGAATGACAACAAGTTGTTGGAACAACTTGTAACTAGGCTGTTGAATCAAACAACCTTGTAGCAAGTTGTCAACAAGCTGGGGACAAGCAGTGCGAACATACTGTTGACAAGTTGTTGGAACAGCATTACTACACATGTATAAACGCACAAGTTGTTACAAATCTGCAAACAAGTTGTTACAAATGTATGCTTGTTCCCAGTTCTTGTAACAAGTTTGGAACAAGCTGTTAACAACTTGTAACAAACTTGATGGCATTATCAGACCTGTCACAAGGTTGTTCTAACAAGTCTGATACAGTCATGATATAACAAGGATGTTAAAAGGTTGACGCCACAAGGTTGTAACAGTATATCATGACTGTACCGAACTTGTTGGAACAACCTTGCAACAAGTCAGATAATGCCATCAAGCTTGTTACAAGTTGTTAACAGCCTGTTCCAAACTTGTTGACAACTTGGGACAAGCAATGCGAACACAACTTGTTGACGGCTTGTTGGCAGACTATTCTACACGGTTAATTAAAAACGCACAGGTTGTTCCAAGTTGATATCGACAGGCGTGAACAATGTTGTGCGGCCAACTATGAACAAGTTGTCAACCATGTTGTTCCAAGTTGTTACAGTTGAACAATGCTGTAACAACATGTTGACAATACTGTTCATAGTTCACAACCTTGTTCACGCCTGTTGATATCAACCTGGAACAAGTTGTTGATTTTCTCAATTTTTACGCGTGTACTGCAGGTTTGTTACAACTTGTGCATTTTTACGTATGTACTTCATGTACACACACAAAAATCTCACATCTTGTAACAAGTCTGCTAACAAACCGTCAACAAGTTGTGTTCGCACTGCTTGTTCCAAGTTGTCAACAAGTTTTGAACAAGCTGTTAAGAACTTGTTATAACAACCTTGTTGATATTATCAGACTTGTTGAAAGGTTGTTCTAATAAGTCAGATACAATCATGATATAACAATATTGTTACAACCTGTGTCGTCAACCTTGTAACATTCTTGTTATCAATGTCATCAAGCTTGTTACAAGGTAGTGTTAACAGCTTGTTCCAAACGCTTTACAACAACTGGGAACAAGCAGTGTGAACACAATTTATCGATAATTTGTAACAACTTGTTTGCAAACCTGTAACAACTTGTGTGTGTTTTTACGTGTGCACACGTGCTGACCTTTAGTCTTGCAATGTTTCCTTGTGTAAAATGTGCACAACATCGCAAGTGCATGGTTCTCCTGGAATTTGTACTTTAGATAATGAAAACTTATCGAATCCCTCGTTATAATTGCATTCGAATTCCGCCATTATTTCACCTTATACACAATTATTTTTTATATTTCTAAGGACTAAGGTGCATGGTTGGATTCCCATGTGAGGAACAAAAAAATTTTCTGACTTCTTGAAGTGATATAATCTCTCATTTCTATATAGTATTTAAACTAGGGATGAGCCGATACCAGAAAAAAGCCGATTCGCTGATCCGATATAAAAAAATAATCGGCCGATTAATCGGCTATGGCCGATATTTCTGTGTAAAAGTTGAATAAAAGTTTAAAACCCGGTACAAGCGCCGGATAACGGGTTTTTTGACAACTTTTAATACTTGTGTATACGCCACAAATTGACGTACTAGTTTTAGTGTGTTCCGGGAAATATTTACTCATATTGGACAGTTATCCGTCACTGTACGAGTCAAATGAATCAAACGTAAAAATATAAATGTATAATTGGAATTCACTCAACATCTGTAGACTAGATGTCTATACTGTCTAGACAAATTGGCTAAATTTTTTTCAGTGATTTTGTGTTTAATTAAGATACAATGATAAGATTTTAACTTACAAGTGGTCTTATTCCCTCGAGTAACGCAATATGGGATTAAATACGCGCAAACAAAAGTGTCAAAAACAAGACGGAGTGTAGATTACTAGATTATAGAGTTATTTTTCTTAAAGGGGAAGTCACGTCCGTTCTGCGCATAATATTCAGACAGTAGTACATCATATTTTAAAAAATACAGCAGTTTAAAATGTAAACAAACCGTTTGTTTACATTACGGACTTGACTTCCCCTTTAAAAAAACGAAAAAATTGCGAATATCGGCAAATAGCCGATTATAAAAAATAATCGGCCGATTACCGATTATTTTGAAAACGCCAAATATCGGCCAATTTATCGGCCGTACCGATTAATCAGCTCATCCCTAATTTAAACTAAAATAATAATACAATTAAGCCGCGATTTGGAGAAATACTGGTCCCTAACAGCCCCGACTAATTGAGGACAAGAGTTTTCATGACAGTACATCAGATATTACAGTCAAACAAGCAATTAATAATTCTCAATCAATCTCATCTGAAAATTTTGAACCAGCTCCAAGTAGGGTTAAAGTCGATGAGAGCGCGTGACAGTTGCACCTGTCATCATATTATCATAGTTAACAGAAGATATGGTTTGCAAATTCATTAAAATAACAATATCTATGTCACTCAACGTTTATGCAAAAATAGTGTCCTTCATCGTCACATGTGCATTGTATTTTTTCCAAATCCACCACTAACAATTTAAGTTACCCAATTGTTCAAGTCACGGATAGCTATAACTTTCGTAAAACATTGCTATTGGTTATTTGAGTAAGAATAATTGATGCACGTGACGGTGAAAAACCATATTTCTGAATAAACATAAACAAAACATTTATAATATAGCATTTGTAAATTCTGAACGCTGATTGGCTAAGAACCGTGTTGACATAACTCAATGTCAACACGGAAAATTTCTTTCTTTATATTTCTTTGTGTTATATTATAAAAAATATAAAACATTTTTCCGTATTGATATACAGTACTATATCAACACGAGTGGAAATTGGGAAAACTCGGAGTTGTGTGAAAACACTGGGCATCGTGTTTCCACACAATTTCGAGTTTCCCCAATTTCCACTCGTGTTGATATAACTGTATATCAACACGGAAAATGTTTTGTATTTGTTACATAGATAATGAGTTATATAACTTATATTGTAATTCTAATGAGTTTCCAAACAATCTCTTCTATTAACTAAGTAGTATTAACTCTCATCCTCCGAATAACCGCGAGGCTTAACAAATCAATAAAATCATATACTCACTTAAAATTACTAAAGTCCATTTTTAACTTAATTTTGGGTTGACTGCTAGTCTGTTTAGGTTGGCTTGTTGTTTTTGCGGTTGTTTTAGCTTGGTTAGATCTTACCGCGTTTTCCAGTCGTTGTTTCATCTCCGGAGATCCCGCCATGATTGTCTTAAATGGAACAGGATATTTCGGACCAATGCTGAGCAGTTTCTGAAAAGCGGACTCGTGTTGTCTTCGGGAGATCTTCGTAGCGCCGGACAAAACCGAGGAGTCCAATAAAAGGTTGACAAGAAGCGGTAGATAGATAGACAGTAGCTCAGTACCTAAAAGCGAAGCTAAGCTTAGTTGCAGTATACGTTAAGTGTTTCTGTTAAAATTAAGGCATCAATATAGGATAAATGCAGATTAGAATGAGCAGAGAAATTTCCAACAAACATTTTCCCCTCATTGTATTGGTACAACAGGTAATTTTTGGTTGTTTTTTAGACAATAGTAAAACTTACAAATCTTACTATATTATGATACAGCTCATGAAACTACAGCATACTGCATTCTTGTGCATATGGCATGTATGTGCATAAAAAATTCTTCGTTTTTCATACAATACACCCTTTCAATAATTACGTCATTTGGCCTGGCAGCTTCGCTCTCATGAATCGTGAGCCAATCACCTTGCGTAATTTACTAATGAGAGCGAGGCTCCAAGACCAAAAAGTACGTGTGACGTAACTATCGAAAGGGTGTATTCAAAGACTTTTCAAAGACCTTGCTTTACGACCCTAGCCAGTATAGATCACTCTCCTCTCCTTTTCTATGAACCGTAAGGCAAATGATGGGTTTTGACATGAGATATGTCTCTATCATAAATCTGACCAATGCACTTACGCCTATCTTCTTCGGCCAGTCCAACCAACAGTTCAACTGTGTCAATAGATTTCTGGACAACAGTCAACTTTACTTCTGACGAGGGCGGGTTCTTGGCAGCTTGTTGGACAACGGATACAATATGTGGTCCAACTGAGTGGATGTAGCCTAAAACACGACTTAAATATGCAGAACTAAACATCGAGTAACACGTTTCGATTGCTTTCAACTGCACCTGGAAAAAAACAATAAATTTAAATAGGATATTGAACTAAATCAATTGCGGTTACAACAACAACAACAACAACAACAACAACAACAACAACAACAACAACAACAACAGCAACAGCAACAGCAACAGCAACAGCAACAGCAACAGCAACAACAACAGCAACAACAAATGAAAATGAGAAGAAAATAACAACACAAACGACAATAACAACAACCACAGTTTTCGACAACTACACTGTACAACGACCAACTACAACTACACTGTACAACGACTAACTACACTGTACTACGACTAACTACAAAGACAACAATAAAAACACAAGCATTATTTAAACTTAAATCTCACAGTGAACCCTCGATACTTACGTTTGTATCAGATGAGTTGACACAGCGTATAAAAATATCCACACAATCTTCATGCAAGCTGGCTACGGCTGTTGCATCAGGGGGAGCGGCTAGTACGAATAATGCAATGGCGGCCATGACACTACATTCATCGACCCGACGTGTGGAGCTTTGCTCTTTTGCCGGCGTTATTATTGTCAGTAAACAGCTAGATAAAATAAAAATAAATGATAGAAAATAAACCTGTCTATCTAGAAAGGTCGGTGTCTAGAAAGGTAGATGTCTAAAAAAATTGCAATAGTTGTTTTTTAGTATTTCACACAGATAATCATGAGTGGACAAAAAAAATTCAATCTGAGAGATGAATTTTGACACTAAGATTATTTAATAAAATTAATCTAGTAGAATCAATGTTATGGTTGTTTTAAAATGAAGTCTGGTTCATCCAATGGACCATTGAAATCATGCCTCAGTTGTGTATCAATAGGTTAGACGGCCCCTTAAGCTTGGTTTCCATACAGTCATAAATGTGTCATCAGGGGTGGAAAAAATTTTTTTCTTTCTGGTAACCTGGGTCGAAGGCTAGAAATTTTCTGTAAAATATGCAATGTTACAATTACAAAAATAACAAAACAAATGCATAATTATTGTATTATTTGTACTTTAGTAATAATAGGCTTTAGGCTGGTTTTCGTATGCTCGTACATCGCAATAGTTGTCTGTTATATACCACAGTTATGAGTTATGACCAACTAGTAAGGATCTAACGCTTAACTACGTGGCCTATCATCTTATTTATTCCATCACTTTTATTTGTTTACTATTTAATTTGCATTTTCTTGGAGACTTTGCAGAACATATATTTACCATTTACCTCATAATGTGATGTTCGGTAAAATAATTAATTTCTGTCAAATATTTAAAAGCTGCTGATGTTAGCGCGTACAGTGTAAATAAAGTAGAATAGTTGTAACTTGTAAGTTGAGTAAACAGAGTTATCTCAAAATGTTGAAATATTTTCTGGAAAATTTTCTGCAAAACTCTCAAAGGGTTCCCAGGTTCCGATACTTTTTCCACCCCTGCGTGTCATAACATGTCGTAGAGATAGACTCCGACTCTATCTCTACGACATTTACGACAGTTACGACATGTTTACGACCGTATGGAAACCAGGCTTTACTCTAAACACCCTTATCTGGACCAATTTTAATAATCTTAGTGTCAAAATTCGTCACCTAGATGTTCAATGCATATTTTTGGGACATCTTGTATAGATAAGCCTGGTTTCCATATGGTCGTAGTGGTTGTAAAAATAGAGTCACGATCTTTATCAATGGCCAGATTATAATAGTTTATACCTGGAAACCACATATATATCATACTTAAGTACTCTCTAGTTATAACCATTCCGCGTATTTTCAGTTGTAAAATGTTGTGTTTCGGCTGATGAGAAAGATTGTGACTCAATCTTTACGACCGTTACGACCATATGGAAACCAGACTACAGGATGTATAAAAAAAACGCAACCTCGAAATTTTAAAAGATTTTAGGCCCCTGGGAATTGAAATCGAATTGCTAATAGATCATATTACTGTTGTTGCACTGTACTTGTAAAATAAAAACTTATTAAATGTCGCATAAATTTTGCTTTATGCACTCGTGTGTGCAGTAATTTTGACAGTTGTGCTATTTTAAATTCCCAGGCGCCTAAAATCTTTTGTCCTTAAAACAATGTCGATTTCTTGGGAAATTCCGAGGCTGGTAACCCAGTAGTTTATACACCCTGTAGAGTATTGCTGGCTAAGTGATGCTTCACCTCAGCTACCAAAGTCCGATTCCTGGAGTATGCACTTTTCTGATTTTAATTTCACATCGGTTTCATGACAGAAGAATAGTCCCGGTTTAGCGCAGGTTTTCGCCAGGCCTCTGCTTTCCTTACGTTAACACGCGTTCACTGATTTGGTTTACCTCCGGGAATATCAAAGCTTTCCTACCTTTGGAAATATCTGATAAACTCTTTTGAATGTTCGTTTTGTATCAACCGTTGTGAGCCCACGAGCTCTTTCAGCGCCTTCAGAGTTGACGAGACAACATGGGGCATTTTAGGTCCGACCACGGTCTGGCTGGCCTCGACCAGCGGTACCTCGTAGGAGGCGGCTTCTTCAAAGACACACGAGACTAGCCGTAATATGATTGGTAGAATATCACAGATGGCCTGTGATGTGCAAAGATCTGGGACCATGGATAATATTGAGACGGTCTTGGAGAGAATTTGACTGAATTCAACTGATGCTCCTAAATATGGAAAATGAAGTTTAGTAAGGTGGAAGATACGGAAAACTTCAACACGATCAGGAATTTCAGCGAGACCAACATACAATACCTTTACTCTGCACAGATAACCTAGGATTTAGTTGTGGCTTCTCCGAATCAGCAAGAATTGACGGGAAATACCGTGACAGTAAACACATGCATGTTTCCATGGCACCAAACACGACAGATTTGCCCGGTTCAATTTCACTTTCTCCCAGGTCACTTGTGCTGCTTTCTGTTCGCTTTCGCGCGAGGACGTCGCGAGTCCCGTGGACCACACGCGAGACAGTGCTCATTATCACCACGTGACTCGCGAGAGAGTCTCGCGTAAGTAACAGTCGATGGAGTACGTTGAGTAGCTCTACTGATAGCATCTGAAATATGAAGCAATAAATGAACTTCCATTTAACTGAACATTTACTAACTTGGCATAAACTGAATTAATAAAATATCTAAAAATTTTACCAAAATTTTACTAAAAAATCTATTACTAATTCCAAAATTGACGAAATTCTACCAAAACTAAAATATTTTAGCAAATCTGGTTACACTGGACGAGTGTTATTATAGGAGGAAAAAGGAATACCCAAAGATAACCTGTGAAGTCTGGCAAAGTCAAACGGACAGAAGTCAAGTTACAGATTGCAAGAATGAGCACCAGTTGCAAAAGGTGAAAGGTCCAGGTACTGTGCCTCTAATACTCCAATAAATTTCTAACATTTACCCTCATTCATATTCACTTACACTATCACTGCCAATGCAATCGCGAGCCCACGGTGCTTCGAGCAAGCAGTTAACCGCATTAACACATGACGTCACAGTTCCAGCAGAAAAAGTAAGACGTGTTGAACACAGGGCTTTGACACACAATCCAAGAACCAAGTGAAAACGTTCAGTACTCAAATCTTCTGGAGATTTCGGAGTCCGGGGAACGTTTAGGATTGTATTAGGAAGATTACCTGAAATACAACATTAATTTCAACCCTTTTAGCTCAGTCAGTCTTCATAGTGGCTCACAAGTCAGGCTCTTTACTTCCCGCATTTGAGGAAGGAAGTGGAAATAAAGACCCTGGCTTGCTAGGTTGGGTTACTGCATGTGTCTTTCGTCTACAGTAGTACAGTCCAGTTTCGAGTCCTGCATTGTACATTTGTCAGATTACATAATTTCGCCTCAGTCACATGAGTTTCACTACCAAACAGCTCTCTGCGGGTACTCCGGTTTCATCACCAACACCGAACAAAAGAGGGATGGCCTTACTCGATCTGTAGGGAGACTAGTTTCGAACCGAGCTATAGAAATAGAGCTATCCAGTATAACAAAGTTTGGTTTAGATTTCCACCTGTAGTAAGACTGAATCAAAAAAGATGAGTTGTGTGTTTGATTTAAAAAATGCAACTCAAGTTGTAAGCAGATTGCATGCAGACAGTTTTAAGCAAAAGTTATGTATAGTAAATCGGCCTTTACTGAACCTCCAGGGAGAACTGATCCAGGGTTAAAATTCTTACCTTTGGAAATATTTTCCACCTCTTTTGCAGCATTCTCAAATCCTTCAGCATTCAGCCACAGAGCGGCAGCATGAAGTATTGGAGGCCATGCTTCTTGATAGTGAATTTTTGATTCGTTCATTGACTCAGGTCTGAAAGGCACGATATGATATGAAATCAACAATGCATTGCAAACGCCCTTTTGTCGTCAAATACAATACCCCCGCCAAAATGTGTGTAATTTTTAAGATACTTCAGACACATATCACGGCAGCATGTTTGTAGATGTAGTTTAGTAGATTTTATTTTGTGGAGGTAGCCAACTTCTAATGGTGCTTAGTTTAGTTTAGCTTAGCTTAGTTTATTGAAATTTGTTGCAAATTTATAAAATAATTAAAGAAAAGGGGCGTAGGTAACAGGAGAGGAAACAGGAAAAATCCCTATTGAACCACTACGTCCGGGCTTCATGATTTTCGGAGTTGTTAGCCATTAACTCCAGACTAAGATAACTAGCTGCACATAAATTGTGGAGCTGTTAGCCAGTAATTCCAGGTGGTTCTGCATACGATTCTTGAAGTTATTAGCCATACATTTAGAAAGGTAGCCCCACTGCTTTCACATTTGCAGTTGGCCTGTAACTCCTAAATCTTAATTCAACTAAGTTTTGAAGTTTTGACGTTGGAGTTGGCCCTTATACTATAGAGGTAGCACTGCTCCACAGCCTCCTAACTGCTGTAGCCATCCACAGCAGCTTATTATAAAGGAATACATGTACCTACATTGGATCACCACGTTTGAAATATTTTTTCCAGATAGTTCAGACATATAACCTACAGTATGCGTCATGAACAACACAAATACAAATTTTCTTTCCAAACGAATAAGTGATTAGAGAAAACCTTACCCATAAAACATTCCTCCACCTGGCGGAAGTTGAGAGGCATACTCTTCAGGTAACGAGAGATATCCATAATCTTTGAGAGCTCCTAGCCAGTAGTGGCTGAGACCTTGGATATGTGACGATACCAATGAAATAAGTGGTTCTTGTATTTCAGCCGGGACGTCTTCAGCATTAGAGGATTGTTGAGAAGCCTTCTGTGAATTCTGCTCTTTCATTGCAACGATATATACCTGTAATGGTAAAGTGAATGATGGTGGGTGCCAATTTCATTATCAAATCTTTTTTTTTCACTTTGGAAAAGCCAATATCCTGTCACCATTACTACAATAAGGCCTCTGATCTCTGCCATGTTTCGCACCCTGAGTCATAACCATTGGATGAACACCTCACCTCCCCCTATCAGATCGTGCTTGATCTATCCCTGGGATTTACCCATCTTAAGCAATAGCCTATCCTCGACCTACATAGCTAATCATGCTCTCCTACACGTACAATGAAAGAAAAATACTTGAGCGAGTATTGATTTGTTGCTCAAAAAAGTTTGCGAGTTCGCAAGAAAATACTCAAACACTAATATAATGAAAAATAAAGTTAAATATAAATTTTTATAGTTTTCCAAGTTTAGCATGTTTGGTGCGATATACGATCGTGTGGATAGCACTACAAAACCTACCTGAGCCCAGGCTTTCAAGACAGCGAGTTTCTCCATTGTGTTCGCACTTTCATTGTACAGCTGAGAAGACGAGTCTTGCTCGGTTCCAAATTTAGACAATGACGTCACTAGCAGCTGCTGTATTCGTCTGACGTCATTGAGATCGTACGAGACGCCACTGGCAATCCACGTGCTGCAAACCTTAAAGAAGCAAAATTCATAAAATTCGATATTTCATCAGGGGGTGGAAAAAATAAGCGAGCACTGCTCGCAGGAAATGTTAAACAGCTGCAGGAAATTCGTTTGAATGAAGATTTGTTATTCAAAATTTGAAGGAAACCTTAACACCCACGTCCCACTATGGGCGCAACAACATATAGTTGACAGACATTATTCCTTGAATTTAAAACCATGGTCAGCTAGAAACACTATATGTTTATGCACATGCAGATTTAACACAAAAATACTCCGGTTTTGTCTCCAGGTTCTGCTTCCAGGAAGAAAATTTTTTTCCTGCCTGTATTTCATAGATTTACGAAAATTCATGGTTCATACAGTTTGTTTCATTCTATCCTTACATTATCAGAGCAGTAGTAACTTCAACCGCGTACCCAGGGCCTGATCAGCTGATTGGATCTATTGCTACAAGCATTTCTAACCAATCATATTCTTGAGCAATCAGGACAATTACCTCACACGCCATAGCAGTGACGTCAGCTGGTGTATCCACGGCAAAAGCAGGTCTCAGAGCAGCTCCAACCTTTAGAAAAAGTTCATTTAAATTTTTAACCTTAAACTGCTCTTAATCTTAGGACTAATCCAACTCCTAACCCGGTTCCTATTCGTATCCCTAATCCTAATCAAAGTGCCAGTTTCTCATTTCTCACATAGGTGCAATATGTTTGCTCTCCACACACAACAAAGGTACATCTTATTTCTATAAGAATAAAAGAGGTCACCTGTGCTTGAAATTGTTCCAGTATCACGTGACCAGCATAATCCGGGTCTTCCACAGTAGAGAACATTTTCACAATTTCCTATGAGATAATAAATATAAAGCCATTAAACGCATAAGCAAATGTTGGTATTCGTTTATGAATGCAATAAGTGAATCGTGGGAACGTGTTCCGTAGACTATGGTTAGTCTCAGAGTATAAACTATACAGAGGAACGACTCCTTGGCGGCGCCTTTGATGTCAGCGTAACCGGCCGCCATGTTCACTAATGAGAGGTCGTCACCCCCCCCCCCTCAGAAACCATTCAAAATGGCGGGCTTGTTTTATACGTTCTGAGGAGGGGGAAGCGCACTGGCTCACCCAGCTATGGGATTTTTGCCAAGTCGGACAGTATATATGTCTCTGTACAGTATACTGTATATGTTGTTGACAGTTTTCTGGGTGTGAAAATGTTTACTCTTTTCATTATATGCAGTAGTTATGTATTTGATGGCAGATGAATGATGCAGTTTGATTTTCTTACTCCCATAAAGTGTCAACAATTCTGAAGTTGACCATCATCTACTGCTCTGTAACGCTCACCCCGTATAAAATGATACAAATCGACAAAGTTCTATTGCACATTCACACCTGAAGTGTTTTGAGTCCCTCTAGCTTGAGTTGATCTGACGTGGCCGTAGCAGCGATAAATGCCAAACGAACTAACTCGGATAAATGCATCACAAGATAATCACCTAAAATTTAGCCAACATCAATTAGTGGAAGAATGAATAGTGGCTCATTGTTTTGGCTTATTTTTCACATACCACGAAGGGTTTATTGTGGGACAATCTCACCCTATAATTAACCACTGTGTTACCAAAACTTGATGGTATTTCATGGTATAGAGTCACACTGAAAGCACTTTTCTTTCATGCATACATTCCGCTCATACATAACTTATAACTTATAAATACCTTTGCCAGTATCTTTCTTCAACTCTCGTGCCAAAGCGAGATCAAAATGAGCTCTCTGCTGTTCACACACACTCATGATCTTCTGCACACTTTCCGATGCAAACACTCGAGTCGGCCATCTTGGTGCGACGGTAGGATGCGTCTCTTCCACTTTATTAAATGCCCCCATTCCACCACTTTCATCATCTTCATCATCGCCACCTTAACAAAGGAAATACTTCAGTTTAAAAACGTGGAGGGTGTAAAACTGCTTTAGCACCTAAATACCAAAAATTTCTTTGCCGCAGAAATTGCGTGGAACTTATGGTCAAAATCGATTTGCAGTTTCCCGTTTACAGTTAGCGGCGGGGCAGGAAAAAAGAATTTTCTTCCTCGGAGCACAACCTGGAGACAAACGTTTCTGCAGACCAACGGAGTATTTTTGTGCTAAATCTGCATGTGCATAAACATATAGTGTTCTAGCTGACCATGGTTTTAAATTCAAGGAATAATTGTCTGTCAACCATATGTTGTTGCGCCCATAGTGGGACATCGGTGTTAAGGTTTCTCTCAAATTTTCAATAACAAATCTTCATTCAAACAAATTTCCTGCAGCTGTTTAACATTTCCTGCTCGGCTCGCGTGCTCGCCTATTTTTTCCACCCCTGGTTAGCCGTTTGCCGTAAACCTAAAGATTTGGAAGATACCATCGTAAGGAGACACCATCCTACCTTTAGCCTTCCTCTCGTCTTCAGTTTTCGCGGCAGATAAAACATTTTTAGACAATCCCAGCCAATGAGTAAGATCGTCTGGTGCTAACGTTTGTAACATACTGTTCAAACAATCTTGAATATTTGATCTCAGACCACGATCAACCTCTGTATCCAGCATTCCGAATAGTGCTCCTAAAATGTGTATCAACGATTCGGGTTAAGAATATACAGAAAATACTTCTATATAAGAAACTAAGGCCTGTTTCAAACGTCGTGCTTCTCATGTGCTGAACGCATTAAAAACAATATATAATCAGAAATTATCTGTTGTTTCTAATTCGTTCGGCACATGAGAAGCACGACGTAATTTGAAACAGGCCTAACTTCCCAACAAAGGGACTTGACGCGTCGAAGTTTTCAGTTTTACTGGGTACATATAGGGTTTACATAGCCTGCAAATATAGACTGATCACAGGCTAGGGTTTACATAACTTGCTACAGGTTTGCAAACCAACGTGTTGTAACCATTGAACTATAAATAAACTGGAAGGCTAACTGCTATGATGAAGGCCTATGATTTGATGAAGCCAAAATAGTTTTTCTGAGTTATGAGCAGAAATACTTGACCCCAAACGTCGGGCTATATATCAAATTGAAGCTATTGAAAATTGCTATTCGGTGTGGAAATTTCAAGACTTCAGCGAAAAGAAAAATATTTAAAAAATACAAAAACAACTGCAAAACGGCAAATTATCGGTAATTATGTTTGTAGTTTTTCAATATTTCCCTTTTAGCTAAAGTCTTGAAATTTCTACACCAAATAGCGTTTTTCAATAGCTTCAATTTGATATATAGCCCAACGTTCAGTGTTGAGTATTTCTGCTCATAACTCAGAAAAACTAAAATGCACTGGCTTCAATTTCCCCCCCTGAGTTAGCCTTCCAGTTTATTTATAGTTCAATGGTTGTAACAAGCTTGATGACAATAAGCTTGCCACAACTTCCAACAAGCTTGTTACGTCAACATGTTGTTGCCAAAAAGATGTGAAAATTTTACGTGTGTATTCTTCTACCTCCTAAGCCATCATGGCCAATAGTGACAAGGTACGTGGACTTGGATTGCTCTGTATCGGTCTTACACGCCAGCGCATGCTCACACACGTCCTTCGCTTCACGTTGCGACAGTTGGCGGAGACAGGCGACGGCTGCCCGACGAAGAATGAGATGTGCGCTAGAAAGGTTCGTGCAGAGACTGGGGACCAATGTTGAGAGGTTGACATGTCTTGGCGCGAAAATATGAAGCTGCTGTAGACAAGAGATGGCTTCTGATTGGACAATTGAGTCGGGATGATTTTGCATGACTGAAGCGGCAACTAAGCAAGCAGACCGAAGATCTTTGATAGACGTCGACGTGTCTAAACAATAAATTTAAAACAGATTATCAAAAACAATTGTTATATATTGCTAATTTAAATTCTATTCTAATAAATATAACAGTGATTACAGTACATTCATTATTCGCTATTTAAAAGCGTCCGGAATTGGAAAGAAATGTTAAATACTAAATAATGAAACTATGTTTTGGGATTAAATTGAGTGTGTAACAGTTTGTTACTGGCATTAAAACATGCCTTCAACTTCAACTATAAGTACTAAAGTTGAGGTTTTCAAGAGCCAACCCACTGTATTTGTAAGATTGAAATGGTTCTTGTATATTAGGCGCTTAATTGTCTAAATCTGACTGGTAGTTCTTCTTAATACACCGGTTCTTTTATATAAGTTTTTACTGAATAAATAAATAATAATAAGTGCAAGGATAGTGATTCATTAGAAATAGCTTTAAAAAATACCTCTACACACTGATATATACACGCCCAGTACAAAAATGATAAAACGAACAATTAATTGATAATTCATAAATTAATACGAAATCTGAAGGGAGTTTCATGAAAATACCTTGGAGTTCTGGGCCAATACTGGTGATTAAAGCAGCTAAGCACTTGCCAAGGCACTGGTGAATCTCAGTACTGGAAGGCGGGACTGACAAGAGGAGAGACATCACCTGTTCCAAAGTTGGTTCAACGTAACTTCTGAACATTGGACCACCACAATCTGCTATCAATGCCAAAGCATGTAACGCCCAAACCTACAGTAAATAAAGACAATAAGCCCCTGGGTAAACTGTATAAGAAACATTGTTGAGGAAAGATTTGAAAATTTAATGTTCATGCAGATTTGTTGATTTGTGTGGTCTATGGACTTTGTTATTTTCAAAAATGACGTGGATTCATTGAAACTTTGTTAAAACGCTAATAAATTTTCGCTCGGTCGCAGGACTTTAATTGCAGAACCACCCTCACTCAGAGATATGAAAAACTAGTTTCATATGATTCTGACACTGCCGAGAACAATGAAAAATTCGTGGTCTCGAGAGGAATCCGAACTCGCATTTCCACGGACAAAAAATTTTCCGAAAATATCATTGTCAAAAGTTGAATATTTTCAACTTCAAAATTTTTTCCGACGGAAAATTTGTGTCGGCCAATCACACTTTACAAAATTTTCTATCTGCGGAAACTTTTCATGAGTGGAAAAATGGGCCTTAAGACCACAGGATTTAAGCGTTACCTGAACAATAGATGATGACATATCCTGAGCCAAAGCCAGTAATATGCTAACACTGGTCTGTGTATGTTGACCCGCTCCCATTCCCCCGACATAGCGATGAAGACAACCTAACGCGATTGAATGACCTGTACGCGATACCGCGTCACGTGATCCTTGAATCTTCGCGAAAATACTTTGGGCAATCTGTGCCACGTACGCGGGCTCGTCTACGACCTGTGCCATTCGCCCCAGGGCCTCGGCAGCTGCGCATCTTAAAATCGGATCTAAATTATTCAAAGCACTCTGCAAGGAAACATAAATGAACAAATTAGACTTGATAGAAAAGTTTATTTATTTTAAAACTTTATCTTTACTAAATAGCTGAATCAATTCTATATTGCTCTCCCCAGAGGTCAATACGTGTCACCCTTATTGGTACAGTGTTTCTACAGAAGGGAAACAACAAAAACAAATTTATTTATATCAGTTAGCTCTATCAATTATAGTTTGTTCTATCTAGAGGTCAAGTTGCAGTCATCAATTATCCGGTGTCACTGCGGGAGAAAACCGGAGTACCCGCCATAAATCTACCCGGTGAAAACTGTAGTAGTAGTAGTTTATTAAATATACATAAATTACAGTTTACAAACTGAATTGATTATGTTTACAACAGGTAATTTAAAAAATTATCATAAAAACTATATAACTATTTACAATAAAACTCATTGTAACGACTAGCTGTAATGTTAATAAAGGAATTTTTAAAACGGTCCGCATTACAGTTGGGGACAGCAAATTTCCTAATGTTTCTTAAAGGCAAGTTTCTGTTGGTATTAAAAGGTAAACGATTATGCAATTTGTCCTCTGTATTACGGGAGACCTTTACTAAAAGATCATCACAGAGATTGTCCCGATAGGCCGACAGTCTTTCCAAGCTCGATAACTCCAATGCAACATCGTAGGGTTTATAAAGGCCCATTTGCATCATTCTCCACTTTTTGCTGCAAATTTAACAATTTTAGGTGCGATTTTCTTCTTTTGGTGCATGTGAACGAGTATAGGTGAGTTGTGAATGTGTAACATATATATCCTCATTTGAACATTCATAACTCATCCCACTCGTTCACATCCATCACAAGAAGAAACTCGCACCTAAAATCACAACAAAAATTGCGTCTGTAAACAAGCATGTAGAGTTCAACTGAAAGCACTCTTGAGTCTTCACATGCGACGGAGGTGAAATTATAATCAGACAAACTGCACATTGCAGTCATCGAACGGTTGGTTGGAGAGATTAAGAGAAGAAGCATTAACCACTGTGCTGTATATTTCACTCACCATAACAAGATTGTCAGCTGTAGATCGCACATCTCTGTCACCAAATGTTGACTTGGCCTCTCCCATCGACTGCAAAAAACATTTATGTCGAAAAAATTAAGAGTGTTTAATGTCAGTAAAACTCCATCTGACACAAACTCCATCGCGCATGCGCTTTACGTTTGATCGCGGTGTTCGCCAAAGCTGCAAGGAAAGATGATCACGAGACTCACCCTCAATGCACTCAGGAACGCAGTAAAAATATTCATCGTGATAGCCTGTGCTTTGGCAGCTTTAGCATTTTTTATGCAGGTCGCGAAATGACTGAGCAGTTGATTACGGTGTTTCTGAGCAATGTGTGGGAAGACCAGACCAAATAATTTGATCGAAGCATCAATGACAGCTACACCCAGAGGCAGAGGTCCAGGTGGCTCCGAAGACTAAAAAATTGAATATTGTAAAATGAATGGATTGAGCAAGAAGGGAACACGTAGGCAATAAAACAGTGGCAATATAAATGATTAATTACTACACTAACTTTAAACTAAATTTAGCTCACTTTATTTATAGGGGATAGCTCTATCAGATGTGTGATCTCCCTCGACGTCCAGTAAAGGTCATTCCTTATTGGCCTAGTGTTACTACCGAATGCGACCTACAGTAAACTAAACTAACTTTACTCATACAGTATAGCTCTATCAGTTGTTCTACTTAGAGATCAAGTAAAGGTAATTTCCTCATGGTCCAATGTTACCACTGGAGGAAACTTAAACAAATGTACTGTAACTTTTTCGTACTGGATAGCTCTGTCAGCCTCAGTAGTAACACTGTGTACAGTAGAACTATCTTTCTGAAGAGAAATTGTGATCAGATTACTCATAGCCTATCGAAACTGGCTGTGAAACTCATTGGAATAACAATACAACTCATTATCTATGTTAGTAACGTTTATTCAAGAATTTGGTCCTTCACTGTCACGTGTGTATTGTATTTTTGCCCAACTAACCAATAGGGAAATTGCTATTGGTGGATTTGGCAAAAATACAATACACAAATGACGGTGAAGGACCAGAT